AACTCCGCAAGAATTCTTTAACGTCGCAGACAAGACGACGCGATCAGCTTGGTTCCTCTGGCGATTTCAGCCCGCAACTCAGCCGTTCCGGCCTACTGTGCCACACCGAGCAGCCCGCCGGTCTGTACCGGTCCTTGGAGGGGTTCGTATCCCTCGGGACAGTCGAGTCGTCAGACACAGATCATCAGCCTTACTAGGTCCGGTAGGGGAGTGGCTTACACTGAACTCAGTAGACCTGCCGGACAGTACCGGTCATTGGGCTAGACGAGTTTTTTAACGAGCGCTCGCCGCTCATGCCCAGGTCTCCAAGTGCCAGAGTAGAGCTTTGGTCCTACTAAGCCCGTGTAGGTTTGGCAGCAAGGCCCTATCCTTCATCCGCAGAGTCCTAGCACCTAAGACAGAAGAGACTCAATGCAGAAAGAGTAGACAGACAACTCAGCAAGTACCGTGGGGTAAGTGCACATCCACAGGGTAAGGGGATAGGCTGAGGGGTCAACAAGATATCACCAGCTCCAGCTTGGTCAAAATCTTGGTCAGCAGCCCCGGTCAATGTCGTGGTGAACGTCAAGTCAACGCGGGTAACCCCCAGTCAACACTTGGTCAACACCCTCGGTCAACGCCTGGTCAACCCTCTGGTCAGCGCTCCGGTCAACGCCCGGTCAACCCTTCACCTCGGCTATGGCTGTCGGCACCATCACCCTCGTCACCCTCGCCGTCTACTTCCCCTTCCTCACTTTCTTTCTCCTTCTCTATCTCTTTTTTTTTTTTTTTTTTTTTATACATACCCCCGGCTATGTCCGTCTTCCTCTTCGATCTCCTCCTTCCACACTTCTTCTTCTCTCTCCTCAGTCCCTCCTTCTCTGTCCTCCCTTTCTCTCTCCTCCGGTACTCTGTGTCAATGCTCCGCGGCTATGGCCGCCGTCTTCCTTCACCACCGGACTCCGCCGTCTCGCCTTACAGGTAAGTGACAACCAATCTTGGATCGCTCATCTCTCTCTCTCTCTCGCCGTAGCGGTATCTTCAGCGTAGCAGGTAAGTAACCAATCTTGTATCACTCATCTCTCTCTCTCTCTCTCTCTCTCTCTCTCTCTCTCTCTCTCTCTCTCTCTCTCTCGCTCGTGGTCTTCTTCTTGCAGGTGCACGGCGTCTTCTTCCACCTCGAGGTCCGCTATGGCGGACTGCCTCCTCCGGCGGGCACTTCAGCTATGGCACCTCGGCTCTGCACACATCGCGCGTGTGGAACAGCGGGTACCTGCTCCGATACCAGTGCAATCAGACTCGACTTCTTCACTCTTGTCATGCATGCAAACAGCGAAACAGCAAACTGGCGACATGTGCCCACACAGTACTCAAAGATATCGTAACCAGAAGTTCTCCTCCAACTGGCTATGGCGACTGTGCGCCCATACAACTCACTGTTCACACTCCAGATCACCCTGGATGTCCCACACGCACACTCAGTGTTCATACCCAACACACACACACAGTACACACACTCTGCACTCTACACTGAGCTATGGCAGCTATGGCTGCCACTACCTATCGCTATGACTACAGTGCTTCACTCTTGCCCCCTTCGTCTTCGGGC